TTTGTTCTCTTCGTCGTGAAAAATTGTGTCTCTTCATGTTAGTTTATCTTCAATTTCTACAGATATCTCGGAAATCAAGCAGCTTTTCGACAAGCTTGTCATATTGAAAGTCAATAGTAGTCTGGGGACTAAGATTGGGTTTAATGGCCCCAAGTAAGTGCTTGTAGGAGATGAAATGGTTTATCTAGGAAATATTTTTACTGCTGATGGTTCAGTGTACTGCTATGCTACCTGGACTCGGATATGGGTGGCGTATCGGGTGTGGAGATATGAGCGTCCGACTTGTCAATTGTTTAAAAATATTGAACATTTTAGGCTAAAATGCCACACCCGACACTCATACCCACACCAGTGTCGACACGACATGACACGGGTATTCTTCCTAAATAGAAGAGTCCGGGTAACATAGGCGTACTGTCAACTTGTAGACATTTGGTATCTATTGCTTCTGTTTCTTTCCATTTATAATTGAAGTGTACGATCAGTGTTGAGTAGAATGTAACAGTTTATAATCTTTTTTATTGCCTCATGGCCCTATCTACCACTAATTCTCCACTTAGGAAGGATAAATTAGTACATTGACGATGAAAATATGACAAAATCTAGTTCTGGCCTATTTTTGTCACCAATACCAAGTTCCAAAGCATAGTATAACATCTGTAAGTGTTAACACTCAAGTGTTGAGAGTTTCACTTATTTAACATGCTCATATGATGTCTTCCTCTAAATAACTATGGCTCTCTTTGTCATCCATTTTTGCATGACGCAGGTGTGCTATGGAAATTAGTAGTGGTGTGACATGCCTTGACTTGTTAATCAACCAGATTGAGGTCTTATTTCTGGGCCTTATTGTCTATTTCTGATTCAATTTTTAAACGAGAGTTCAATATTATTGGTAGTTCTAGATAGGATTTTAAAGTCGTTGGATACTGGGTTTGTGATTGTCGTATTGGCCGTAGGCACTAAATGAGAAATATGGATGCAATATTCCTCTGCTCTTGGTGAATGCAGAAAATGCACATGATGGTATATTGAAGGTAACTATTCTTGTATATTCAGATACAGTTGAGTTTTTTATGAAGGCTAATAGCTGCTACCTACTTTTTGTAGGTCTTGGAGAAACACACGAATAAGAACATCCATTCTGTTACTCAGGTTCTCTTGTTTTGATGCTTTATATGTTTACCACTGGTATTTTCTTATATTTTGAATAAATGACATGCTTATGACAGAACCACCATCGCCTGGAACATGATGACAACTCTAAGCCTCGTTCAACTAAAGAGCAAGATAACCAGGATGAAATGTATGTAGTCCCCTTCTCTGTCCTTTTTTTTTTTTTTTT